GATGGCTGCACGTGTTTCTTTGGAGGTAACCATTGCTAACAAGAACACAATGACTGGAAGCACTTCTTCCCTCCTTTTATAGCAATCAGTCTGCCCTTACAATCTAATTAGTATGATAGTGATTTTTCCTGACTAGTACTCATTCACATTTTCATTTTCATTGCTGATATGATTAGTCAATTAATGTTAACTGGTCATTTTGTGTCAGGATGAAAAAACAGTGAAATGTGTGTTTTTGTGAAAAGTACATTTTTTGGCCAATGAAGCTTTTAGCAATTATTTAAAATGCATCTGATCACTCTACACAATAGTCTAGAAACAATGTGAATGAACACCACAACAGCTTAAGCAGCAAAACTTTGCAAAACACAAAATTGATGTCACTGGCAAAACTTTTGGCCATGACTGTACATATTTTTTATTTACACATTTGTATTGATGAAATTGCAATTTAGTATGTTTAATATAATTCAACAATATATTTAATATATTACCTGCAAATGTAAAAATGATCAAACACAGTTACAGTTAGTGCTTTAATATTTTAATCAACACATCAAAATAGGGGTAGAATGACTAAGGATTATTAAATAGTATTAAAATATTATTTAAAATGTAATTTAAAGTAAAACATTTAATTTGACATTATTACAAAGATTTAATTACATGATTTTAAAATTGTACTTAATTGTGTTATAACACAAAGAAAACATAATCATGAAAGTGTGTTTTTAAGCACACTTCAGTGGCCTTTAATTTCATATATGATATGATATTATTATATTATCACATTTGATATTATCTCCACATACAGTTTTAAAAAATATACCTTTAAGATTTGAAGCACTACAAATGCACATTTAATACAATAACACACACACTTCATCGTTTATTGTTCACTTCCGTGTTGCTATTTATTCTAGTCTGCCTGTTTCCTGAAGAAAAAAAATCCAATCTGATGTAATGAATAAAACCTTTTTTTTTGATTACCCAAAGTGTATTGGTGTTCTTCTTGTATAATTAAAATGATAACTGATATAACTAAACAAATCAATAATTAAGTGAAGCTGTGCGCTTGAATTTGTCATTGCATAGTCCTATGCAATGTGGTGAATTAGGCCTATTATTGCTCATTATTGTCTATAGCCTATTTTAGTCATTTAAATAACATAGGTTATCTTAATATATTGATTAATGACATTGTATTATAATAGCCTATTACACCACCCAAATATGTATTTACTTCTTTCTAATTCTCGTTGTCAGTGCAGGCTTGTTTAGCTTAATATTGACCGTTATGAAAAGTGACTAATGTAGCCTGCATAAAAAAGCCTTGAACATAAAACAACAGGACAAAAATATAGTTGATGACTAGACATAATCATTTCATGACTCTAGACACTTCTTTGAGAAGACAGTAGCATAATATAGTGAAATAATATGTTCTTTAGCCATTCAAAAACAGCTGTCATTTGCGTGGGTAAAATTTACCCGCTGGCGCTTTTAGGTATACAGCGATTTAGACGTTTTATCCTAATGTTACTCATAATTGTTCACATTTTGGATTAATTATTTAATTTTTGTTTTGTCATTTCTATCGTTTATTGTTCACTTCCGTGTTGCTATTTATTCTAGTCTGCCTGTTTCCTGAAAAAAAAAATCCAATCTGATGTAATGAATAAAACCTTTTTTTTTTGATTACCCAAAGTGTATTGGTGTTCTTCTTGTATAATTAAAATGATAAATGATATAACTAAGCAAATCAATAATTAAGTGAAGCTGTGCGCTTGAATTTGTCATTGCATAGTCCTATGCAATGTGGTGAATTAGGCCTATTATTGCTCATTATTGTCTATAGCCTATTTTAGTAATTTAAATAACATAGGTTATCTTAATATATTGATTAATGACATTGTATTATAATAGCCTATTACACCACCCAAATATGTATTTACTTCTTTCTAATTCTCGTTGTCAGTGCAGGCTTGTTTAGCTTAATATTGACCGTTATGAAAAGTGACTAATGTAGCCTGCATAAAAAAGCCTTGAACATAAAACAACAGGACAAAAATATAGTTGATGACTAGACATAATCATTTCATGACTCTAGACACTTCTTTGAGAAGACAGTAGCATAATATAGTGAAATAATATGTTCTTTAGCCATTCAAAAACAGCTGTCATTTGCGTGGGTAAAATTTACCCGCTGGCGCTTTTAGGTATACAGCGACCCCTGGCGGTTCTAGTGTTAAGCTATGGTATATGAATCTGCAGGACCCAAACTTCAGTGTGATTTCCATATCATTTTCAAAATCCAACAATGTTTGTATAATTTTGCAGGCTGAATTTTAGAACCTTTTTTTTTGTTTTCAGTTTTTTTTTTTTTGCTTCCAATGAAATATTGTGATTTATGGCTTAAACTATTCATTAAAAAGCCTATGAAGAAAAGAATGGGGAAAAATAATTCCAGAACCAAGGCTGCTGAAAAAGTGGGCGGTAATTGTTGTGACCTACTGGTTCGACAAGTTAAATTACATTTAAAATAGACTAAAGTGCAATCTCATTTCTCAAACGTTATGACCCTAGGTGGCAGAGAGGAAGAACTTCTTACCATTGAAAGTGGAATGATGGCTTGAATGTCCTTCTGCACAACCGTCAGCTCTGTGACCACCTTCTCTGCATCCGAGGCTGGATTCTGGCCCCTGTAATCAATATTCCAGTTGATTCTTCTGGTGACTGATTGACTGGTGAAGTTCTCCATCTCAAAGTCTAGCTGCATAATTTCGATGCTGGCAGCCATGTCCCTGAAGAGACACAACAAGATCATATGACAGTGAGCACACTAAATTGATCAATAATAAGGCTGTAAAAAATAACTAAAAATACTGGCTATCCACCAGATTTAGTCATTAAGCTCATTTAGAAGAGTAATTAGGGTCAGGTATGTATTCAAAGCTTAAATGGTTAATATGCTGGTCATCAACAAAAACAGATGTTCTGTCATGTATTAGGTATTATATATTGAATCATTCAGCATATGAATCAATCAGAGAGCCGGGCAAGACCCATCTGTTGTTTGAGACTGGATTACAGGGGCTAAAAATGGATTTACAAATTACAAATCTAACGAAACAAACGCAAAGAGAGCATGTGTGTATATACATGACCAAAATAGGTCAACATGCTTGATGTTTTACTTCTTTACTTACCAAATAAGGTGACTCAGATTTTTTGTAGGCAATTATATGGATGAAAAGTGATGATAAATGCACTTTTCATTGGAGAAAATATGGAGTCATGTGCACATGTCCTGAAAGTGGAAACGAAATGGACCCCTGTGGTCATGTGACCACTTTTTTGTGTGTGCATTTTTATTGATTAGAATTTGAGTTCTCCTCCTCAAATAAATGGGTATATATATATTTCTCAGTAATATCTCAGTATTACTGTTTTTACTGCATTTTCACAGCTTTTTGAAGTGCATCATTTCCTAAATATCAAACATGTTTGATATGATCGGGGCGGCCCCGATTTGTGTGCGAGCAGATCGGGAGGTGCAAGATTCGATCGGTGAATGCCTCACATTACCAGATAAGTCTGCACCAAATCTGTTTTCAAAAAGATTTTCCTGAACCCTCTCTTTGCCTTCCATTTTTGGTGAAACAGGATGTCCTGCCCCAGACTGTCTTGATTGGTTGAGGCTATCAATATTGGTGTGTCGGGCTATTTAAACAAACTGAGCAATGTTTTGTTTCTCTGCTGAGAAGTGTTTTTACTTTTCGGGGAAATCAACCTATAAATGGCTTAGTTGTAGGTTTCTCTGCTTATTAAGCTATGATAGGGAAAAGTACTGCAATAAAATGTATTATTATTATTACTGTAACAGGAAAAAAATACACATCACCTTTAATCAAAAGCAATATAAACAAAAATGCTGCACATTCACATAACAATAATCTTTGATTTCAAGTGCATTGGTGAAATGAACACAAACATAGTCATAAAAACAGCTGAGCACAACAGTTCAGTAGCATACTGGAATTAAATTGGCGAAACGGAAAAAATACAGCAACTTTGCCCGGCAGATAGTTTCTTCAGAGCCTTTGCAGGAAACCTTAATGGATAGAGACAGGCTAAATGAGTTCTGTCTGTTGATCTCATGCACACTCATCAAGGATTATTTCCTTTATCTGAGACTCCTGTTCTACAGGTAGATGTGTTGATAGCAGCTGACAACCACGCTGAGAGAGACCAGTAAAAAAATGTATTCCCTTGCTGGGAGTGTGTGCGCCTGTGGAAAAATGCTGCAGGGTTATCAAAATGTTATCTGTGGGGGGTAATTAATGTGTCAGAGCTGCAAAATAAACAACTTCTTATGGGGAATAAGATACTTATTATAGTTGTATATATGACATGAAACTAGACTAAATAATTTAAACATTGAAATGTAAAAGTCATATAGTGTCCCTAAAACATATTAAGATACTTTATAAGCCACATTTAAGATGTAGGAATGTAACTGAATTGCATAACAAAATGTTAAAAAAGGGACATCTTGAAACAAATGATCCAACCTCTTTTCACTACTAACTTATCTTGTAAACAAGTCCCAAAGAAATGTTAAGTGAACGCATGAAGTTCCCCTTAGATGTACACTACCATTGAAAAAATGGTAGTGTAAAAAAAGCATCATGTTTCCATGAAAATATCAGGGAGCATAAATGATTTCAACCTTGATAATAATAAGTAATGTTTCTTAAGCACCATATCAGCATATGAGAATGATCATGTGACATGGGACAGGACTGGAGTAACAGCTGATAAATTCAACATAGGAATAAATCACATTTTAATATATATTAAATTATTTATTTAAAACTGTGTTAATATTCTACAATATTACCGTCTGTACTGTATTTTTGATAAATGCACACTTGCTGAGCATAAAACACTTTAAATGAATTCAAAAAACTTTTCTGGTTGAAACTTCTACATTAACACAATCAAAGTCTTTTTTCTCTTCATTTTTAACAGTATATTTGATTTTGTAATTAAAAAACCTAACAAACCTCTTTTAATGAAAATGCCATGTGTGCTTGTTTTATATCTTCTCATGTAATACAATAACATTCATATAATTTTAAGTGCAGCTATGTTTTTAAGACCACTGCAAAGCATTTTCACATGCTGTTTGCATTCTCTGCTCGAAAAAAATGCTGTATTTGGTTTAGTATACTATTTGTAATTAAAAAACCTAACAAACCTCTTTTAATGAAAATGCCATACTTGCGATGTGTGCTTGTTTTATATCTTCTCATGTAATACAATAACATTCATATAATTTTAAGTGCAGCTATGTTTTTAAGACCACTGCAAAGCATTTTCACATGCTGTTTGCATTCTCTGCTCGAAAAAAATGCTGTATTTGGTTTAGTATACTAACCAGGGGCGGCGCCAGAGAATTTTGAACGCAGGTGCTGAGGGGGTGCTAGATCATTGATAGGGGGAGCTGGGCAATTAATAGTAAATATGACCAAAAGATGATGTTGTTGTTGTTATTATTATTATTAATATGAATAATAAAATAAATCGCACACTCGATTTTGTAACATTTTATTAAAGGGTTATTCCACCCCAAAATGAACATTTTGTCATTAATCACTTAGCCTCATGTCGTTCCAAACCCGTAAAAGCTTCGTTTGTCTTCGAAACACAATTCAAGATATTTTGGATGAAAACCGGAGGCTTGTGACTGTCCCGTTGACTGCCAAGTAAATAACACTGTCAAGGCCCAGAAAAGTATGAAAGACATCGTCAAAATAGTCCATCGGCCATCAGTGGTTCAATCTGAATTTTATGAAGCGACGAGAATACTTTTGTACGCAAAGAAAAGAAAAATAACGACTTTATTCCACAATTCGTCTCCTCCGCGTCACAGTAGCGCCATTTTGGAGAGTGTCCACTGAATGTAAACTGCGTATACAGTTCTACTTGTCTGTGTCAGCCGCACCACACGGATACGTTTTCTACATTTATTTACGCTTTGAATTGAACAAAAACAGCGTATCCGTGGGTTGTGGCTGACACAGAATAGCATACACAGTTTACGTTCAGTGGACACTCTCCAAAATGGCGCTACGGTGGCGTGGAGGAGACGAATTGTTGAATAAAGTTGTTATTTTTGTTTTCTTTGCATACAAAAAGTATTCTCGTAGCTTCATGAAATTCAGATTGAACCAATGGTGGCAGATGGACTATTCTGACGATGCTTTTCATACTTTTCTGGGCCTTGACAGTATTATTTACTTGGCAGTCAATTGGGACAGTCATAAGCCTCCCGGTTTTCATCCAAAATATCTTAAATTGTGTTCTGAAGACGAACTAAGCTTTTACGGGTTTGGAACGACATGGGGGTAAGTGATTAACGACACATTTTTCATTTGGGGGTGGAGTAACCCTTTAAATGATTATTTGTCTCATCTTACAATTTTTCATTTTATGAAATTAAACAAGTAGCCAACATAGATCAGTCAGTTTCCAAAGATTTTTATACAGTCAGCCTAAAATTCACTGAACAAGCATTTCCAAATGTGAGTCAAAGGCAATATGACATCAAAAAGCCCTGGGGATATATTTACTTGCTTAGCCTGGCTCACACTATAGGATTTTTAGCCCGATTTAGCACCGATTTCCCCCTCCCGAGAATCGGAGCAAAAATCTCGTCGAGCCCCTCGATCGGTCCCGATGTTCGGCGCGGATTATCTGGTAATGTGAGGCGTTCACCGATCGAATCTTGCACCTCCCGATCTGCTTGCACACAAATCGGGGCCGACCCGATCATATCAAACATGTTTGATAATTAGGATTTAAATCGGGATGATGACGGCTATATGATTACATCAGTACTTTCACAATAGCCAATGCGTGACCGCAAAACAGCTGCTGTACGGCCCCGTTGGATAGTGGAGATGGAGGAAACTGCTTCTTGACGTTTTATAGTAACACGACTGTCTGTATAATGTGTTGAAAACGTATCACAACCGTAAGGAGAAAGAAAAGCGCTGGAGTGAAATCGCCTCAGTTTTGAATGTACCGGGTGAGTGTAGAAAGCAGCTAGCACACTAGCTAACATATGTAAACATCACTGAAATATCAATGACGATCTGCTGCATGAGATCACGTGAGGCGCTCCCTCTGGCATGATAATCTTAATAATATCTTGTAGTGTGTGATGCGCCACGATGTTAAAATCTTGTAGTGTGTGCATGTTTAAGATTTGAGGGACGATAATCTGCAAAGATTCTCCTTATGTGTGTGCTGCAACCAGATTTCATAATCGGTTAGGATTTTAAAACTCCTGTAGTGTGAGCCCGGCTTTACTTACAATCTCAAACCAGAGCCTTCGCTCTCTCTGGACAAATGTGCCAAGCTGCTGTTTTGGGCATCGCCACAGCTGCTTCTCAGATATGTCTTATAGTGTAGGAGACAGGACAAAGATCTCTCACGTGATCTCTCACATATGAAAAGGAGTAAGGCTGCTATATGGCGGTTCACTCTGAAACTAATTTAGATTAATATGCGCTATATGCTAGGGATGTAACAATTCACTCAACTCACAATTCGATTTGATTCACGATTTTTGTGAATCAAATTTTTTACAAAATGAGATTTAAGACAAATTATAAATTAAATGTGTCCTTTTATTTTTGCTTGGACAAAATGCTGCACGTTTCTTTATGAAATTGAAATATAACACTATAATAATATACTAATATAGCACTTGCATTTCTCTTTTGTTGGTTTTGATTGATTTTATTGTCCTCATTTGAAAGTCGCTTTGGATAAAAGCGTCTGCTAAATAACAAAATTTAAATATAGGCTAATGTAAATGTAAATAACAAAACTAAATTGAAATTTTAAAACAAGCCCCAAATCAAATAAGTAACACAAATAAAAAAGTCTCTTCATGTAAACAAAATAAGGCTTTGTCTGTGCTCTTTCCATTTGAAATTAGAGGCAACCACTGCATTTTAATCATGATCCAAACAAAGATGCTGCATACATGCAACATGAACAGTTTTTAAACTAAATTACATTGTATAATTTCGAAATTTGAAGCAAAAGCAGAATCATTTGACTTCAGTTTTGTGAAACTATAAATAAAAAATATCTGCATGAAAGCTGAGCTGAATGAGACGCAGATTCACTCTCTGCCAGCAGGTGGCGCTTAAAGCGTTTCCTGGTTTCCACTGTAAACAAAGCAGCGCTGCACTTATGAATTTAATATGCAGTATACAGAGACAAGAAGAAAAGAAAAAATACCATCTAAACTTTTCTAAAGACAGTAAGTTCCCCTCAGACATACATTCAAATAAACTCCTACCCCTAATTGAATCGCGATTTGTTTAGCATCTCAACCGATTTGAATCGTCACATATTTGAATCGATTTTCAACCGGCTCTCGGTTAATCGTTACATCCCTACTATATGCACATCAAGTGTTTATGAGAAGTGTGGGAGCATTATCGCGCTTACTGCATGACATGGAGGTGCCTGCGCAATCCCTTACATTTTTTTCCTGCGGAAATATCTTAGAATATGCTACTCTGTCATTTTTGGTCCTACAGATAAGAAAAATGTCTACTATTGAACGAACCAATAAAAAAATTATTAAAAATATTCTCTAATTATGTAGTCCGTAGTAAAAGGTGCATTTCTCTCTAGGCTATTAAAGGCACGTCCATGTGGATCTTTGTAGCCGACACTGACTGAGAAAGCACTAGTTTATTAATAAATAATTAAAATGTCTTCTTCCCCTGGTACATTATATAAACATTATATAATCATTACTTTTGCCGGTGCTTTGTGGCAAGCTTTATGTGCGCGCTTGAGCACGGAATAGGCTATATGCCTAAAGGATGATTTAGCAGTTTATTATATTAATCAATTTAATATAAACATGCGACTAGTTGACTAGAGAAATCTTTAGTCGGGGGCAGACCTACTAGGCACATGGAACCGATTCATTTTTAAAATAAAATGCTATGACGTTACAAAAAGTACGACTGCAAATCACGTCACGTTGAATGCGTTATGAGTCAAATGCTTTTATTTTATTTCATTTTTGGGGGTACTATGGGGATGCTTTGCTCTTTCTTGGGGGTGCTGAAGCACCTGCTAGCCCCTCCCTAGCGCTGCCCATGATTCTAGCGTACACTATACTACACTAGTGGCCAACTCTATGGTCTGCAATGCCCCTTTGTTAGGAGATACTTTTTTGTCACTAATTGTTGCTTGGATAATTTGCAATTGATGTGGCCAATTAAGACTACAAAGCCATTAAGTGTGACTTTCCCACTAAAAGTTTAATTACTTTTCCTTTTGTTTGAACAGAAATATTTCAAGGCGAATGGGAATCAATCTGTATCAAATGTGTTTGCTTTCTTGATGTCCATTCATTGGACACTGCATTAATGAAGTTAATATCGCCTTAATTATTTAGCCATTGCTGAGAATTGATTGTCCAGCACAACAGGAGAGGAGGCCAGGGAAGAGTTTTGCTAACAATCAGTCATTAAAGCACAGCTATAACAGGAGCCAGCTTTCAAAACGCCCTGCATTTAGAGTCATTTTAGGCTCGCTTAATTCTGGAGTGCAGAAACACAGAGAGAAAGAATTGGCGCGTGTGTGCCAGCAACTGAATCTCTAATTGAAAATACACTAATGGAATGATGAGGCTTGTCTTATACTGACAAATAATGCTGGCTTTGCCTCCAAGGTCAGCCCTAAACCACATTCGCAACGTTTGCTCCTAGCAGTGGACTCACTCATTAAAACCGTTAGAAAAGATAGATGGTGAAAGAATATAGGCGGCGTATCCAAAGAAATTTGCAAGTCTAAGAAGAGAACTGCAGTCTGTGGACAGAACGAGCTGCGTTAACAGAAAATCTATACAAGGAAACGGCGTCAACTTGCTAAAAAGCATTCATCTTCTTAGACAACAAGCTCATGCAGGCATTATTGTGTTACAATACAAAAAAGCCCCCAGCCACATCTAGACATATATTCTCCAAAACAAAGAGATGAGTTCAACTGTGAAATAGGCTCAAAACAAGCAGTGCATTTTTGTTAGTTGTGGTGAAAAGTGCAAAGCTGTTTAAACTCGCATTAAAAATAACAAGCAACACCTCTCTATAGTCTGGTTTTACATTGGCGCTTGACAACATGTCAGAGGCTGTTGAAATGTGCTGCACATAAGTAAACTGTGATACGTTTTACGGCAAAATGTTCAAACTTCGTAATTTAATTCTATTAATACAGAAATTAATGTAACAATATTGTACTGAAAGCATCTAAAATGTAAAATATCTGTATAATAAAATTACTTTGCAAATATTTAAAATATAATGGATCCTTAAAAAATGTATCATGGTTTCTAGAAAGAATATTAAGCAGCACAACTGCCTTCAGCATTAATAATAATAGGAAATGCTTCTTGAGCAGCAAAACAGCATTTTAAAATGATTTCTGAAGGATCATGTGACATTGAAGACTGGAGTAATGACTGCTGAAAATTCTGTATTACCATCACAAGAATAATGAATTACGTATGTTTACTAAGTTGTTATTTTAAATTGTAATATTTCATAATTTTTGTGGTTTTACTGTATTTTTATCAAATAAATACAGCCTTGGTGAGCATTAAAAAAACATTTGGATAGTAATCTGTTGATCACGAGGTTATTTTTGTACTAAGAGCTGGTTCATATGTAAGACAATGCTAGCATATAACAACTATATTTCTGTAACAAACCGTACATCACCGTTAAACCATTAGAATGGATTTCCTATTCTGATATTGCGCTTAAATGAAGACGGCTTGACATAGCTTTAGTATGCTACATCGCATTGCTTTTTTACAGTTTAAAGGCTATGGATATTAAATCAAACAACAGACATTGTGTATTTACCATAAGAGATTTTGGTCTGACGATCATTAATAAAATAACAAACAGATACATTAATACAATTTTGGAAAACCTTCTCTCTACTGTAGTATTATATATTGTCTTTTGCTGGGCTGAATAGTCTTAATTGGCAGTGTACTTTTTTTTTTATAACTAGCCTTAAGCTCCATCCTGATGAAACATGCATACTGTGGCAGCTTTCAGAATACACTGCATGCCAGGAAAGGCAGGAGGTAGCATGTATTCAGCTGAATTGTAGGGTTGCAGGTGAGTGACATGGACTTATCATGTCTGACACAAAAAGAAAATGATATGCCAGGGTCCACTTGATACAGAAGGAAAAAAAAAAGTACAGAGGTTAAGAGGCTTAGAAACATGAACAAAACAGCATGATGTTTAATTCAAATGCCTTTGCTGATAATCTCTATGTCGACTCTCAATCACCATGTCTTGATCTACGTGACAAAAGGCAAATAACACTTGACTCTACTGGCTAGATGAATCACTCAATGTTCCTGATGATGGAATGGAAGATAAAAAGCTTCTATAGACTAGAGTTCTGTAGATTTCTAGAAATGTGCATCTACTTCTAGTTCAATTGTTTGTGTATACAAAAAAAATATATAAAAAATCAGATAGATAATCTCTCTCTCTCTCTAAAGTCATAAATCAGTTAGAATTATAATTTAGAATCAATCCTACAGAAAACTAATAGGGTGAAATAAGAAGCCCCTATGAAGAAAACATTATCCTAATAGATACATTCTACATTTTTACTCTTTCACATTTTCGTTATTTGTTTAGGATGACTTTATTTGATTCCTATAGGATTAATTCCAAATTACGGTTTACAAAAGGAATTTTATGATTCTTTTTTCTTTCTTTTTTGAATAGTGATCTTTTAATGTGCTGCTTCTGTCGAAAAGCCCTGCAATAATAATTTAGCATGAAAGAATACACAGGAAGTGCTAATTAATATGAGTACAAACGTTTCATTGAATGTAAGCCTCTCCAATTAGACAGTAACATCCTTAAACAAAGGTCTTAACTGAACAGACGGCATTCTGTTTTAGTTGAATGTTATTCGGATTAACTAGCAGATGTCTGAGTGGGTGAATGTTATGAGTCAAACATGAAAGTTTAGGTTCTCTTTTTGTTGCTGATCTGCAACCAGATTGCCATTCACTACACACTGCTTAGTTTGCCACTGGGGAAGCTGTTCCTAGATCAGTGTACAAAAAGCGGGAATGCTGACTTACCCAGGGACTCCTTTGATCTTGCTGGCTTCCACGGTTGCAATGGAGTGTTTGGCTCCGGACTGCACATCCCATTCAACCTTCCACTGGTTACTCCTCGACTTAGTGCTAAGGAGGTTCACCCCTTTCTTTGCTTTCACCCTGTAAAAAGAGACAGTGGGTTTTAAAGAAATATATATGGCTGGAGTCCAACAAGACTGTTTTATTTGAGTATTCAGAAGGTGATACTGGAATATTGGACATTGCAATACTTAAAGACACTGTTTTAGTGGTAACACTTTATTTTTTAGGACCAATTTACACTATTAACTAGTTGCTTATTGGCATGCATATTACTAACATATTGGCTGTTTATTAGTACTCATAAAGCATATATGAATGCCTTATTCTGCATGACCATATTTTAGATCCCTTAAACCTGCCCCATATATCTAAACTTAACAAGTACCTTACTAACCATTAATAAGTAGCAAATTAGGAGTTTATTGAGGGAAAACAAAGTTTTGTTTGTTTATTTGTTTTTATGGGTGGTAAAACTTTGCCTTTTTTATTTAGCCTGCATGTCATTGGTCAACTGCATGCAAAAATCGGACCAAATTTTCATGGTGAACCTTTATGTTGGTGTGAATTAAGTTTTTTATTTTGCTACTGAAAAGAGCAAGATACAAAAACAAAAATGTGAATGGACTCATCTTGCAAAACAAAACAAAACAAACACCAAACAATCAACAAAAACAAAACACAAAACTAAGCAAAAAAACAACAACAGGATAATATAAATAAGATAAAATAACAAATAAAATAAAGATAAACCATACTTAGTACTTGCAGAATTGGTTCATGTTAAATAAACCCACTCTCCTTTAGAAAATTATTTATAGAAGGACTATAAATCTGTGCTGCAAAACAAATCTATTTCCCATAGATAACACACATGGCTTCTGCGTCTTCATTATGACCTCTGAGACCGTACATCTAAAAAAAAAAAAAAAACATCTTATGTGCATCAATTTATGCACACTAAAGCTCATACTCATCATACATTTCCAATTTATGCACACTAAAGCTCATACTCATCATACATTTCCCCTCTGTCCATTAAAATTCAAAAACATCAGCCTTTTCTCTGATCCGAAACCAGATTTCGATGATAAAATCCCTGTGGGATAAACGAGACGAGACGAAAATGCTGGTCATGTGACGATGACGATAATTAAATGTACAATGCAATATCGTTGACGAATAAAAACGAGACGAAATGTGGCTTACAAAATAAAAACTATGCTAAAATGTCTCTTCATTTTCGTTGACCAAAACGAGATGAAACGAAAAAAAAAATCTCTTAATAGCCCTACAAAAATACACTGAGTGAGCAAAACTTTGTTTAATTACCATTATCTGTCATATAAATTGGTCTCTTCATTAGAAATTAGCCTATAAAATTAGATTTTTTATAATATTAAAAATATCTGTATGACATTATATTCTGCAGTTCTTCTCTGTTGTACCAAATATCTATACTTTTCAAATGATCATATCGAAGTTAGAAATTCAAATATTGTGACCAAATTAATTTTGTAGGGTGCCACAAATTTGTACAAATTTCCAAAGGGTGCCGTGACTAAATAAAGGTTGGGAAACACTGATTTAGAAGACGAAAACCAAACAAAGTTAAGTCTGACACAGAGAAAGGGACCGATGGCCGGCCAGACGGGGTTCGTCTTTTATTTAAATTTATGTGTGTGTACTTCTAACATGTTTGGTTGGTAAAATAAATGTTGTAAATTCAAAACAGAGCATCTTCCGTGTCTGGAATGGATGTATTCTTGAGTCTATAAGGTAACAATAATATAATAAGATAACCTTGTTTGAAATGGGTTTGGCTAAAATAAAATTTTGGTTTCGTCTATACTACTAGGTACTTATACTATATTGACTGGGTTAAATAGAATTGCATTTCTAAAAAGAGACTAAAATATCATTTTCATTGACTAAAACTAGACTAAATGTCATCAGTTTTCGTCGACTAAAACTAGACTAAAATGCTCAGACTTTTAGTCGACTAAAACTTGACTAGACTAAAAAGACTATGAACGTGACTAAAACTAATAAAAACTAAAATGACAGTTTCACACAAAGACTAGACTAAAACTAAAATTAAAACAGGCCACCAAAAACAACACTACTCTGAGGTCTGGCTGAACCAAAGAGTCATGCAGCTGTAATGCAGCCATGCTATACAGAAATCCTTCAGCACACATGCAAGACATGAGGTGATGAATAGACAAGATGAGAAAGAAAAAACGTCTCCAGAAAAATGGAGAGAGAATTTAGAAACCATTACAATAGGGAGATTACGATAGTTTTAATTAGTTGTCTATCAAATTACAAACAAGTTTAGAATTATATCAAGATGTTTCTCACACATTATTAATCCTGCTGTTAAAAGTGGATGATCCAAATTTGAAGCAGCTGTACATATACACAATTGTGACTGCACATCAATTTAATTCTATATTAATGCCTATATTATATTTGATAAATTTGTGGACATTGTAAATAAAGATTATTGGCATTTAACAAGAAAACACTATTTCAGCTTCAAAATTTCACATTTAATTAAATATGTCACTTGCAGTTTCTTTGTAATTATTTGTGAAATATAAGTAATTTCTGAATGAATGAATTTTTTCTGTGCATTGCGTTGCTACAAACAATTAGAATGTTAAACAGCCTACAGCTAATTAATTAATATAGTTAATGAGGCTTATTCGCTATATCACTTGGCGAAATAATTGTTTACTGCGATTATTATTTTTAATTAATGTCATTATTTGAACACTGGTGTGTTTTATCATGTTGCTACTCTTTAATATCAACAGGCTGTGCTGCAGTGCCTAAACTTCCTTAACCATGATAAAATCACCGTAATGCATGGCCTCATGTTGATTATTGCTTTCATTTAAGAACTAAGAACTTTACAAGAAAGTTCTGTAAGATGGATGTTCTACAGTGCTTTGGAGCCTACGGGAACCACACTAAATGGTTGACCAAACACTCATAACGTGACGAAACATTCATTGATAGCAGAAAGTGTCTCCAGGATTAACCTCAGACAGGTTAACCTCAAAAACTCAGTCCTTTCTCTTTGAACTGCTGCTTCGAATTGCACTTACCTGATAAAAGGCGGCCTCTGCTTTGAGGAGCAGACCATGACCAATAGCAGAAGCTTCAGTCGCCCATTTCAACAACCTAGTCAACAGAGCCTTATCTCACCCCCTCAGCTTCTCCATCAAGCACAGTATTGATGATCATAGTCTGTACTGCACTTTTATAAATATTAAATATAAGGGGGAAAAAAGCAGGTCTGACAGCAAAACCTGGCTCGTTTTCAAATCAAACACAATATCTTTTAAGATAGGAGCAGTAATCACAGATTTTTGATGTAGCTCTTCACTTTACACAGCAAAAAGCTGCAAATGGAGATGACTGGAGGGCAACCTCATCATTTTGTGTGATGATAGAGAGTACCATGCAACAATTAGATTATTCAATTTATTAAGCATAGCGCTGAATTACTTTATCTTAAAAGCCTTTCATTGTCCACATTAATTAACAGTAATCCACACTCAACCGTCAAATTTAACAAATGTCTTACGTCTTCAGGCCATATGTTACTAAATGAGCAATTTCAATAGCTGGAACTTTTTTCAAAGAAACGAATCAGCACTTGAAAGTTCATTTAGTGTGTCTCCACACAAACACACAAAGCAAGTTACCACAGCGTCTGCTCTAAAAAAAATAAAAACTTGTATGGTACAACTTTCCAAATGAATGTGAAAAACTTTATATCTTCCCTTCAATAAGGCCATTATTAGGTATACAGGACACAGCAAAAAGCTGCAAATGGAGATGACTGGAGGGCAACCTCATCATTTTGTGTGATGATAGAGAGTACCATGCAACAATTAGATTATTCAATTTATTAAGCATAGCGCTCAATTATTTTATCTGAAAAGCCTTACACTGTCCACATTAATTAACAGTAATCCACACTCAACCGTCAAATTTAACAAATGTCTTACGTCTTCAGGCCATATGTTACTAAATGAGCAATTTCAATAGCTGGAACTTTTTTCAAAGAAACGAATCAGCACTTGAAAGTTCATTTAGTGTGTCTCCACACAAACACACAAAGCAAGTTACCACAGCGTCTGCTCTAAAAAAATAAAAACTTGTATGGTACAACTTTCCAAATGAATGTGAAAAACTTTATATCTTCCCTTCAATAAGGCCATTATTAGGTATACAGACAATGTTCACTTTAGTCAACATGAAATCAAAACTAACTTAAATTATTTAACACACATTCATATTCCTAGTCTTACTCTGATAGATTGTTGCATGAATCTCTTAAAAAAGCTTTAAAAAAAGCTTCTACACTTTATTTTAAGGTCCAGTTCTCACTATTAACTTGTGCCTCAATAAACTCCTAATTACTGCTTATTAATAGTTAATAAGGTAGTTGTTAAGTTTAGGTATTGGGTAAGGATGTAGAATATGGTCATGCAGAATATGTGCTTTATAAGTACTAATAAACAGCCAATCTGCTAGTAATATGCATACTAATAAGCAACTAGTTAACAGTGAGAATTGGTACCTATACTAAAGTGTAATTTTTTTTTTTTTGGTAATATGCCATCAAAATATTCCGCCTCTGAATAGACTTCACTTTTCAGATTTCGGTTATCCAAACCTACCTCACAAACATGTGTAATAGACCACTTTTCATTATCTGTTGAACTCTGGATGTATGAAACCATGTACTGAACTGAAAACTGTATTTTTTTATAGAATATACCATTTTATACTCTGAAATATGCCACATTAAGGAAGTAAAATTGGTTGCGGTGATTTCAGATCGATTCATATTGAAGACCGGAGTACTGACTGCTAAAAATTCAGCTTTGCCATCAAAGGAATAAATTACATTTTAAAATATTAAAATAGAAAACATCAATTTTAAATGGTAATACTATTTATTTCACAATATAACATTTCATAATGTTTTGAAAATAAAATGAAAATGAAGCCTGAATTTAAGCGACATGTCTTGATGTATCAAATGTGTACACTCTTCAGAAAACTCCAAGTGTCCTCTGTGGTGAGAAAACACAGTGATGTTTCAACAGAAATGTGCTATTTGACAGCCTGTACATAAACAAAACACTTCAGCTTATAGGGCTGATCTAGGATATGTTCACTGCAACAGAAACTATGATTTGACTTTCTATATCTAGAACAATGACCAGACACTAAAGTTGCCTATAGCAGCAGTGTGAAACACAAGCAGTGATAAATAACTCTAGCCTTCCCCGTAGTCTCTTACCATAAAAATCACCGTAAAAAAAACCCTTAAACAAGCAGGATGAGAAATGTCAGCAGATGCATGTCTCCAAGGCATTAGGCACTCACTCCCTCTTTCTCTGCATTACTGCAAAAGCTGTCCCTCTCTTCAATGTCTAAATCTGGCCGGCAAAGATTTTTTTTCCACCCATTTGTAGAACCAGGGCTTTCCATTAGTTCCACTAGAGAAAGGGCCACTTGACATGAATAAATGATCGCTGGAGGTCTGCAGGCAAACACATCCAAGTCACAACACACAAAGATTAGTGCATGTCACTAGAATCTTTTCCTTTAAATATTAAAATGACACCCTCACCCTCACCCTCGAGTGGCACGTGTACGTGAAACCCCCCCCCTTGTCCAAACAGACAATAATTATTTCTTAAAAACACCAAAATCTACAGATCAAGTTGCATTTTTATCACTGTTGTGAACTACAATGAAATCAAGATGGTATTAATGTCAGACAGCATTAGTTCCACCGACGCCTGCCTTAAACTGGCCAATTGTGTCTTGGATCAGTATTTTTACACCATATAATTGCATGTATATGAGTTCTGCCTTCCATTTAGCGCCACATAACATCTGTTCCATAACAAGTGTTCCATATGTTCACTACTTCACAATTATGAAAATACCAGCAACAACATTTCACTTTCTTAAGCCTGAAATGCCTCTGAGCCTATTCGGCTGTAGAGCTATCTATGCATCTATTTACTGATATACAGAAATATATATTTATTGATTATATATAAAAAACAATAAATATATCTGCTTTGATTATATCTATTATGTATAACTATTAACATACTCCTGCACACAAGACTGAACTCATTAGATTGGCCATTTGAGACAAACATCAATAGCTCACATGATCCGGCTGTGTGATTGTTTTTCGTACTATTGACTAGGAAGGATCTATAGAGGCAGATGTTTATTTTGCACAATTCTGAGTACTAAGATCTGCCAGTATTCAAAATACTGTTAAACTAAGCACAATGAAAAATGACAATGTGAGAGAGAGAGAGACAGAAAGAGGGTACGCTGGCACCGAGAGGAAGAGAATTATGGCGTTTTTCTGTCACTTCGGAAGAAGATTTAGAACAGAGTGAGACAGTGCTGAACCTGCCAGCGAGGATTTGCACAAAGATGACAATTCATCAAAGAAGGAAAAGTGAATATTGAGAGCAAAAATGGTTCACCATTTAACTTAACAACACAGGGCATTCAGAATGAGATCATATCTACTAAATCTATTTGACTTCCATCATATCAAATAAAAATGCTGAGGCAATTTGAAAATGCTACGTCTGATAAAATATAAAGGGGATGTGACACCATTCATATTCTTTATGACAGTATAAAAATGCATGTAGTCTATATTTTTGGGTGAATCTTACAAAAATATACAACAACCTATAAACAATACCATTTAAATGTTCGGGGTCAGTCAATTTTAAACTGTTATTCAGATGTAATAAATTGATTATAAGTTACAATAAAGACTTTTACACTGCTACAAAAAATTATATTTCAAAGAAATTCAGAAGGATCGTGTGACAATGAAGACTAAATAAATGAAAATTTAGCTTTACCATCGCGGGAATAATTTACATTTTAAATATATTTTCAAATACTAAACAGGTATTTTGAATTGTACAACAAAATGTATGATATTACCGTTTTTATTGTTGTTTTATTGTTTTTCGATCAAATAAATGCAGGCTTGGTGGGCATAAGAGACTTTCAAAACCATAAAAAAATCGTACCGACCCCAGACTTTTGAACGGTAGTGTACAAATCAAGTATATTATCAATATAATATAAGAAATAAAATATATTATCTTGAGGACTGTTGAATACTGAATTGAATCTATTCTGATTTTAATTAAAAATAATAATCACAATCATTGTGCCTGGCCAGGTTGTAATATAGTGATTAAAGTAATCTTGTCCACATTTTTTATTATAATTATTTTGATTAAAATCGGCATAAATTAAATATACTGTAGTTCAACAAACACTACCATAATGCATATTAACTTTTTAACTGAAATAATATACTGTATGATTATTGATTTCATGTTATTACAATGTGGGAAATGTACTCAATGTACTCAAACTAATGCAAAAAATATAATGGATAATCTCTATCAATTAATCAAAATAACAACGTCACCATATTACTACGTAATAAGCCTTGATACAAGGGTGATGCAGAGACTCAAGCAGCCCCCTCTCCTCTCCTCCTGCTGAAAGCTGGAAAGGTCCTGTGTTCTCAATGCAGAGAGAAAGACCGAGAAAAAAGAGAATGAGCCAGAACAATACAGGGAGAGAGAGACACTGAGGAACAATGTAGAAGAGAGAGAGAGCGAGAGCCATGCAGTGGTTTGCAATCCTCCTGCCTGGAACACAATTATTCTAAGTAGTTTTCCCATCAGTAGCAGGCACGAGCGGAAGACCCTCGGGTGAGCCAAAACCTTTTCTGCCGAGGCAATAGGGGGAAAAAGCAGCTCTCCAATTTATTTGATAAGGCAAGCGGAACTCAGTCCTGCCAACTGCTGCAAAGAACAGGAAAATCACCCTCGTACCCTCAGCCAACTCTCATCAGGCAACTGACATTTCGTCAGCCACTTCAAAACCGTGATATGTAACTTCATGATTCATATATATATATATATATATATATATATATATATATATATATATATACTGTATATATATGTTTAAAGTGTGGGAAATAAAAGTCTTTCTGCAAAGGGAAGACCAAGTCTATACAACTGTTTGCACAGTCTATGCAACTAGTCT